AATATAATTTTCATTAATTTTCTTATACAAAATACCCATGTTTTGTTCACTTCTCTATTCTTACTTTAAAATTAACAACCTGACATTTATCCTTCCCTAGTCTGTTTGATCTGATATCTATTTCCATTCTAGCTTCATACAATGTCCAGGTAGCTCTTCCAAATCACCCCAGTGCCTTGCCTCTTTCTGCCTCTCCAGTGTGTCTCAGCTGCTTTCTTCTACAATTTTTCCTCCTTTCTCTCTACCCATCCAAGTGCAAGAGGACTTTTAAAATCTGGATCAGAACTTGCCTCTTGCAAACCATGACCACTTCATTACTCAAGATCCCTGCCTTGGCTTTCCTGGTATTTTGAACATTATCTGCAGGGGCATCTGCTCTCAGCTTCCCCTCACTACCCTGCTGGCTGCCCTGCCGCACCTTAAAGCTGAAATTCACTGCAGCCTCCTCCAGTCCTCCCATCATTGTCCTAGTTCCAAACCTGACTCAGAAGTTCCCTGAGCAGCTTCAGCCCCATAGAGCTCTCATCTTTTACCAGACACCCGACTCCTCAAGTGAGGTTGATGAAGTAAGCAGAGCCCTGCCTTGGAACTATGGGACTTCTGAGTCCTGTACTGGCCACTGTGCCCCTAGCAGAACTAAGGTGCCCCACCCCGGAGCCCTGGGATCTCACTGTAATGCAGGTTGAGAGTTGATCCCAAGCCCCATAGAGCCCCAATTCTGATAACAGTATGGTTCTGGACCTTACAAACTTCAATTTCTTTCTTTACCCTGCCTTGTAGACATGAGGTCTTCTTAAATTTCCATTCTGAGTTCCCATACTAACAATCAGTCTTACTTGCTGCAGTTGCTTAATGAGGCCTGGGGACCTGCCTTGTTCTTTCTGTGTCCATCCTGGCAGAATGCAGTCTCTTCAGTGAGCCTCAGCTCCCAGATCCAGGGCCCTGCTGTCCTCAGAGAGAAACATCTCAAAGCTGATTGCAGCCCCCGCTCTGTGTACCTCTAAGACATGACAGTCCCGCCATTTTCAGATGCTTGGACAGCCGTGCAGGGTCAGCATGGATGATGACCTTGTTTCCGCCCTGGGAGTTGCCAAGTGCTTGCTGTTATTTGGAGCCTAATTTTCAGTTCTCTCTCTATCCTTGTGGGCAGGTCTGATTCCAGGTGGCAGTGCCACCCGAGCCTTGCTTCTAGTAAACATTCATACTTCCCTGGTATGTCACCAGAGCCTCTAAAAGCTCAACAGCTTTGTGGTCTTTCCAATAAATTTAACCTCAAAGTTGTTTTTACCTTTTCTCCCCCTCCTTCTTAGGGGGTGCGCTGTGTAGTACACATTAGACAATTAATAAATGGCTATACACAATAAGTGAGCAGAGAACCTGAAGGCCACACACTCTAATCTTAACTCAGGTTTATAAAAGGTCACTTAAACCATATGTGTCTCATCAGGAACATGGTGGTAATAATACTTAATTTTTGTAGGTGTTACAAGGATTAACTTTGAGCAGTGGGTACACCCACTGGCACAGGCATAAACATCTCATTAATGTTAATAATGTTATATTAATCAAATCTGATGTCAGAGGTTGCTCAAGGGTAACATGGTTTGCTGCGCCCTAGCAATGGCTGAAGTGTTTATTTTTATTCTTTTTAGTTCTTATCTGCATTTAAAGTGCTAGTTCTAAGAGTCAGTTTACCAACTGAAGACTTTACAAGTAGTTTTTCAGAGCAATAGGCATGAGGAAGGACATGTTGGTTGTCTTTAAAAAATTGTAAATGGCCCCTCAAATGAAGTGCTTGAGTGACATGTGTTTCATAATTCAGGTTTTTAAAAAATATATGAGGTCAATATAATACATTGCACAACACCCAGCAAGACTGAAGTATAACACTGCAATAGACCTTAATATTTTTGTTATTAAACATATGAACAATCATGTTAAATTTATTAAAGGCTAAAAATAGCCTTATTAGCTTGAATTAAATTTTGCTGCAAAGTAAATTTGTGCCAAATGTACAAAATAATTCCCAGCTTCCAAACACTTTTGTATTTTGGAATTGTGCATCAGGGATTGCAGACCCATATTCTGAAGGAAAAAGGTTTAATTTGGGGTGTCTCCTGGTAAAGTGGGAGCAGAGTATAAGTCAGTTGAAGGAACAAGGAATATTTTAGCTTAATAGAAAAAAGAGCTTTTGAACAGAGAAGGTCACCATAAAATCAACTACCAGTCCCTAGAAAAGTCATGAATACCTAGTCACTGTGGTCAAACAGAGATGAATTATGCAGATGCCCTTGATTCTGTAGAAGCTGATACATTGACCATTATGGAACCAATTTCCCAACATAAAAAAAGAAATTATCTTTAAATGAACTTAAAACTACCACTCTATTTGTTTAAATAAAAATAGTATGTTTTAAACAAATTTTAAAGTTGAAATCAAAAGCCAAACATTCAATAAACAAAGAATAGAGTAGAAGTAGGGGACTCACCTGATCGCTGTTCTCTGGATGTCCAGGTTCAAGACATGCTTGGGCGTGTTAGGTGCTCAATAAACACTTGGGAATAAGTTAATGAAAGACCATGTTTTGTCAGTATCAATGTATTTAAAGTTTATAAGTGTACTTTAAATTTGTAATTAGGAAATTCAATGATATGCATCAAAACATGTTTTTCCTCCTGAAGTTTCTATTTTAAGTAGGGCTTATTATCATAATTCCATTGTAATGCTAAAATACTTTTTAATTACTTTTGATTCAGTGAAGGAACACCTGTTATAGGAATTAGCCCAGCTTTGAAAAAATACAATAAAGGTCTCCCCAACAGTGCTGTGGTAATAATAAATTAGCACATTTGCAGAACTTTTTGGTTTTTCTTTTTACCCTTACTTTTAATGATTGCTTATGACTACTTTGATAATAAATTTGATAGGGCATTTTGGATATTTTTTGTTCAGTTTCCATGTTTTTCACAATGATCTTTCTTATTTTTGAATTAATTGGGTTGCATGTCAGTATTCTACGTAGGCTTTGATATTTTGTGTCTGATTGCTTGGTTGCCATGTCAATAACACAGTGAAAAACACACTGAACTCTCGTTCCTGAAGGTCTGAGATCCGAGGGCTAAAGCTGTTATATCGACTTTCAAATTATCAATTGACCAAAGAAATAATAATCAAGGCATAGCAACATTTCAAGTGAGGAAGATTTAAGTAACATGATTTAAAAAAATGTTTTGACCTAGCTTTTCAGACAACGTAATTTACGTCTCTATTAGATGAGTAAGAAATAGACAATTTTTCCCCTAATGCTTGGCCAGCCATCAACAGTTCTCTCACCTCCTTGACAGCGACAAGACTTTCAGGTGTCTTTTGGGCTATGAATCCTGTGAACAAAGATGTTTCCTTAGAAGCTTCTGACGGGGCAATGAGAGATGCCCATATTCTTTGCTCATTACAACAATCCAGGTGCGTTCTGTTCTTGCTGTTGACCTTTGGATAGAAGCATTCACAAGAACTGTTAATAATACATGCTGAAGAATTGTTCTTTGCCAAATAAAGCAAAATCTGATTTTTACATGGTAAATTTAGCCATAGAGCAATGTGTTGTTTAATTTTGTTGCTATTTTTTTTTAATGTAGTGTTTCTTCCTGTATGTTCTTCCAAAGTTGGTGACTACATCTTGCAACTGCCAGGTCAATTAGAGATGGTGAGCATGAGATGGTAGTGACACAGTAAATTTTCACTCTTTATGCCATTGACATAATGTGAGGATGCTGTCCAGTAGAATGGAGTTTTCCTAACGCTATGGCTGTGTTACTCTACTACCAAATGACACCTCAGAATAAAAGTCTAGTAATATTTTAAAGCAAAGGCAATCAAACTTATACCACTTGTTTGATAACGTAGCATTCTGATTTTCAATAAGTCAGTTTTAATTGATGGTCATGCTTAATATTATTGACACACCTTCAACTCAGGTGTGTCCCGTGTAGCTCATGGCCATACAATGCCATCATTGGTTTTGTTTCAATAGGAATAAGAATAAGTCATCATGTTTTGACTCCTCTTTAGAACAAATCCCTTCCCAGCTTTTCAATTCTTTGGCAGTTTTTCTGTGTTCCTTATGTTCTAAGGCTTGAGGCTATGTCATTTCAGTTAAGCTCATTAAGCTTGAAGGTATTGGATACATTTATAAAGAAATTTCAAAGGCTCAAACTTTTGAAAAGAATTCAGAGTCCAAGAATGTCAGATACAACAAGGATATGGGTTGTGGTCTGTTCTATTTGCTAGTGATATTTTTGCACTGGAAAAATACATGCCACATTTTAGAAACTCAGTATTATCACTTGTTGAGTAAATAAATCAGTAAAAGGGTTCATCCTTTTTCAATTTAGGACAAACTAGATGTCTTGACAAAAAAAAATCTCTTCCTAAACATTTTCAATATTCCATCACTCGTTTGGAATTTCTGCCTAGGAAACTGATTCTAATTGTTGTTAAATGCATGTGAATTACTGAGCAGCTGACCAAGTAGACTTCTAGACACCAACCTCAAGACCAAAAGGTGAAGTCATCCTGATGGCATGTGTGACTAAGAGACGGTGCCGCCAGAGGAGAGAAGCCATGCATGCTGTGTGGAGAGAGAGCAATGGCAGACCTCTACCTCAGAGTTTTTTCTTAGGTTGGTCCTAAAATAAAATGCAGGTGTCTGAAAGATGGGACCAAAGGGAAGAAAAAGAACTATGGAAAAATTTTCAGTTTTCCTTTCTATCAGGAGGGTTGCTGAGGGGAGTCACAGTAGCTCTCAGAGGTAGGGTTGGTTTTCTTGTGTTTTTCTGTAACACCTCATTTCCTTCTCTAAGGTGGATCCCATTTTAGTGATTAATTATTTATTATTTAGTTTAATCCACACCTGCACTGATGCATCAGAGTTGATTTTCCACCAGTCATTTTAATTATTTCTCAGAGCTGCAGATATAAAAGGCAATGCATGAATTGAAAAATATTCTTGGAGTTGAGCTTGTAGCATTGCAAGCTCAAGAATGGACAGAAAGCATGGAAAATACATAGTGAATACTGAGCACACTGAAAACCAGCCAGTGAGTATTGTTTCTCTGTTTTAATATTTCGCTTATACTGCAGTCTTACTTTTAGCATTTAAAAGCAATCTAATCTCTTTACTGCTATGTACTCAGTCATAATTTTGCATAATTTTCTCCAAAAGGAAGAATAGCCAGGTTTTAATTTTTTTTGCTTTATAGCTGTATTCTGCTATATTATATTTTAGAAATTATTTTATATATTTACTGATATAAAGCATTAAAAATGTTTCTATGACCATATGATATACATATAAATACATTTAACTTTCTATAACCACCATCATATAAACATAAAGCTCCATTGATGTCTTTGGTTTAGTTTTAAAGTTATATTTTTACAATTTGATTCTTAAATTTTACATACAAGTCCTAAACTTGTCAGAACTCAGACTTCTAAATATGCTGGAAATCCAGATATTAATCCTGGATATTGCCTTTCAGTCTTAAGAAAGAAATCCTCTAAAAATTCCTACTTTGTATAAAAATACGATCATTTTGTCTATTTTGAAATGTTTTACAACCAAGAATCAAGCCTTCAGTGTACAGTTATAAGTGCTTTTTATGTATCTGGTTATGTCTGAACAAATAATCTTTGACATCAGAGCAAAGGATGTAAATGTGCTAAAAAATAAAATATCAAGTTAAAGTTTGCCACCTGAAGAATAAATGAAATATTTTGCCTTTGCAATTTGGAGCTGCAGCAATCAGCCTGTATTAACAAGATGAGCCAAGGAAGAAAGTCCTGCTCCTCAGTAAATGTTAAAACAAAAGAGTTTCATGGAAGATTTCTCTTTAAGAAAAGAAGAGGGGTTTGTCTTTTTGAGTCATCATTCAAAGGACCCTCCTGAAACTATCCTCTTTGTCCCTTCCAGTTTGACACTCTATAATGGGATGCTGGGGTACTTGGATGGAAAGAAAAATCCATTTAGCCAAGTATTTATCATCTTGATAGTTTCCGTACCTAAGAACAAACTTGAAGATGCTTACAAATATTATCTTGTTTTTACAGCACGTATCTGGATAGCTGACTGGATATTCCACTTTTCTATGTATATTTATAAAAATATTTTTCTCTTAAGACCAAGTCAATAATGGAACTTAAGAATTATTTGAAGATTACAAGCCTTAAAAGAAAATAAATTCTGGCATTTTGTTTTCCTATTAGACTGTATATGGTCTTAAATTAATCCATATAAAGTTAGGGGGAAAAATCTATAGAACTTCCTTTGTGATCGATAGCTAATGCACTTCAGTTACTTAGGGTCCTTACTAGCTAAGGCTGTTAATGTGAGTGAACATTATTCACAGCTCAACTATTTTGTCTAGAGACTCTACGTGTACTAAGAATTAGACTAGCCTAACACAGTAAAAACTATTATTCGAGCTGCAGTATCACGTCAGAGCTAAACCTAGACCACAGGTTATCTACCTTAGTTTACACACCACCCATTATCTTTCATTTTTGAAAGGGGTTGGATTCCAAAAAGGCCAGAAAATTCTGGAAAACTGGCCTGGTGAGTGAGTTTTACTTTGTTTACAAAGTGCATTAAAATATCCAAGTTCATCAGCCACAGGCAAACTGGATAATAATACCTAAAGCAATGGAATCAACACTAAGGAAAATAAGCAAGGTTGTTATTAAAGGTAAGTCTAACTTTGCTCAAGTTTACCTAGTGAATAACGTGAACTTCATTTTTATTCACTAAACATAGAGCTGTTTTCTTTATTTCTCTAATAGAACTTATAGAAAAAATCTAACCTACCAAACTCTTTACTGCCAAGACTCTGTATATATGCATCTTATGTATATTTAATAACAACCATATTTATTTTTTGTTTTGTTAATGATATCTCCTAAGGGACCAATGACTACATGCAGTTCTAGCTTGACACTTTTATGGAAGTCATTGGTTGGTGGGCCAATGATTTTACAACTATTTTGTAATGGGCAATTAAATCAGCATGATCAAAGAAAACTTGTAATGTCAGTAGGAATAAACACTACTACGACTAACAAAGATGGCGTGATTGAGTGCATACTATATGCCAGGAATTGTTCTAACCTTTTTGCAGCACAGCAAATCTATGAGCAGGTAATTTTAGTCTGGAAAACCTTTTTGAAGATGAGTAAGGAATGAGAGAGATGACTCACAACTGGAAAGTATTATCATCCTGTGTGATGAAGAGCTCAGGCAATTCTGCATTATTTTTAAGAAGTAACAAAACTTTAAGCCAAAAGCTTTTGGGTTTATTTCTCTCTCATTTTTCACTTTATCTTGTTTCTAACCCGCTTTTAACACACCTCTTCTTCAAAATCTTTCCCACTGAACTCACCCATGTTCAATTGTTATCACTCCTTTTTCTCAACAATATTTTGCAATTATTGTATTATGTGTTAATTATACACAAATCCGTTTTGCCTCCCTGTTTCATTAGCATATAATCTCATTCTTTGAGAATTTCTCATTAGTGTAGTATAGTAAATGCTATATTAACATATTACCATAACTTAGTATAACAATATATTAAATGTGGTACACTGGAATGGGAAGTGCTCTGGCCCTAACACTGGAAGGTTTGGGCTCTACTGCTTGCTATTGTTTAATAATAAAATAATAATAATACTAATAGCTCAACACTTTTTGCTTCAATATTCTCATTCCAAAATAATCTGAACAGGTTGTACCTGACAAACTGCAAGGACTTGTTCAACTCCAACATTCTATGCCTTATACGAATACAGGATTCCTAGTATATTCTCCACGTACAGCAGCTTGTAACATGAGGCTATTTAATACATGCATGTAATATGATGAAGTGGGATGATATACATGCCTGATCTGGACCATCAGTAACTTACAAAAATTAGTTAAACTGTGATATATAATAATCTGCCTAGATTCCTTGGTCTTCAGAATTTAATAAGAAAGCATTTATTCCTTCTAAAAGTCTTGTCTATTTCTTTTAAAAGTCATATTTATTTATTTTTGACAGAAGAGTTTCATTTTAGAAATTCAACACCACGACTTCCTATTTACTTCTGCTTATTCTCTTTAGCCAATTATGTGTTCAAATGACCAAGAGGCTCACAGCTCTGCATGCTGGCGTCCACCTTCAAATGCCATACCTGGTGATGTCTCGGCCAACTTATCTGGGGTCTGTGTGAGCCCAGGAGTCCTCCTACACTCAGGATGTCCACACACAGAGTTATCCAACACACAGGTAATGTTTGGGACAGCCACTTTTACCCAGGTTGGCTGTGCTCTGTATGGGGTGTATTTGCTCTAGTCTTTCCCAGGAAATGTATTTAATCATTTAATTCATGTATATTTATGTTAAGCATTTGCTGTATTCTTAGTACAAGTCATTGTTAAGGCACTTCGTAAGAATATTAGATAATCTTGCTTTCAAAGAGCTGTGTTAGTCTAGTTGGGGACTCAAATATGTCACATAGAGAACATATATATTAAAATAAAAGTACAAAAGCAAGATTGGGGAGGGGCAGGGAGAAAATATGTTGGCAATGTAAGGTTTAATTTACTAATTACACTCTGAGCACAGACTTTGTCATATTTAAAACTTCAAGTGTCCTGCTCTACCGGTGATCACCTTATTTTCTTACACTGCTCTAGCCTCGAAACCTGTATGTGGCACTTTCTGTATGGCTCTCCTTGTTCTGACCTCTGCTGTGTATGACCTTGAATGAAAACCTGACTCCTTTTTCCAGATTTTCTCCACTGCCTTTGGAGACTAGACCCAGCTTTCCTTGGTTCTTGATCTTATCTATTGGCTGAATTACAGTACCTCAGGGCTCTGTCTCTATATCTTCAGCTCTGTAGAGAAACCTGACATTGACTATAAATAAGTTATTTTGGTTGGCAGTTTGGTGGGTTCCCCTGACTCTGGAATTCCTACCCTCTGCTGTTTAATCTTGCTGTAGAGCCTGGGTAGAAAGAGTCTGAGCCTTGTTTCTTGATTCCAGATAACAACTATAAACTGCTTATGCTGTTGCTGGGACAATGTTAAAGAATGAATGAGCTCAATAGGGTGTGGCTGGAAAATGTTTCTTGTTTGCAGAGGTAAAGTAATTTGTATCAATCATAGAATTGAGAGGTCTAAGATAACATCTAGTCAGGAAGTTCTTAACCCTAGCTGCATCTTAGAATCAACTATGGGCTGCTTAAGAAATACCAATAGCTGAGCCCCACTCCAGATCAATTAAGTCAGAGATTCTATGGATAAGCTTATGTATCAATATTTTAAGATGTGTGAATTGTGATGAGAATGACCTAGTTCCATTGGATTATTTAATAATCAGGGAAAATATGGCCCAGGAAATTTAATAGACTTGCCACAACTCACATAACTTTTGCCAGAGTGGCCAAACAGGAGAATTTAGTTAGATGTTCTTGTGTCTAATTATGTATACTTTATTGCACTGAACTGCTCTTTTTTAAAGGCAGTATTATAGACCCCTCCCAATGTACAGAAGCCTTTATGCCACCTTCGTTTCTTGAAAAAGTGGTACTACTTCCTTGTAGCACTTTTAGTCAAGGTAAACAAGATGATACTTGTTTTAAGGCTAACTTGGGCTTAGCGCCCCTCATTTGTCTGGCCCCAATGCCTTGGAGCTACCACCTTTGCACAAAACCCTGGCCTTCCAATAAACACCACAGCTCATATTTTATAATATATAAGACCTTCTCTAGTCTGTCTGAAAGGCATGAGTTGTATTCCACTCCTTGGGGGTCTTGCTGTCATCCAAGTGATAATGAAATAATCATGTTGGACAATTGAAAGCTTACATATGTGACACTATGCCATGAACTTTACAAACACTGTCTTATTTTTTTATAGTTTTTATTAGGTAGGTATTATTCTTATGAGGAAACTAAGGCTTGGAAAGATAAAGTTACCAATATTACACAGCTAATAAGTGACAGAACTAAAAATTCAACTCCAAATATGTTGAACTCCAATGGTCTTGATTTTAACCTGTACTATACTGCATCCAAAATAAAAAAACATTTTTGAGAACTTGTGACTTTATGTATGTCATTTATAATCTTCCCAGCAACAACATAGGATAGACATTTTTATCTTTGTATTTCAAGATAAGGAGTTCGAGGCTCAGAGACGGTAAGAAATTGTTTAAGGGTTCATTGTTTAAGCTCTGAAATTCATAACATCTCTTCAATTAAAAAGACTACATTCTTCCATTATGCTTGTTGCCTAAGAATAGCAGCAACAAATATTTGCAAAAATGCCTTAGAATTAACAATTCAGTTTAATTAATTGTTAAGGTAATCCAGTAGGTCATCAGCCATTTTATAACCAAATCATAAGTGATGATAAGGATTAGTGAGAAAACAAGCAGGGCTTTGGTTTACTTTGTTAATGCATCTCACTGGAAAGTATCCAGGGGCTTCTTTTCATTGTGCACTTTCAGGTGCTATCTGGAAAGGAAACGGAAGATTCTAGGGGGTTAGGAGGAAACCAATGAGAATAGGATATCACAAAAGCAAAAGGAAAAAAATTGTTCAAAAGAGAGAAGGAGGAATGATTTTCATGGCAAATGCTACTGAAGCCTTCAGTAAGATGAGGGCTGAAATATGTCAGTTAGGTTTCAGTGAGTGGATGTCATGGGTGACTTCATTAGGAGTGTTTTAGTGGCATGACAGCAGCAGAAGCCAGACTGGATTGGGTTGAAGACTGCAAGTGGAGACACTGCATTTTGACAACTTTCAGGAAGTTTAGTTTTCCAGAGAAAGAGAGAAAAAGGAAGTAGCTAGAGGGGAAATTGGAATCAATGGAGATTTGTTTTTGTTTAAGATGAGAGAGATTCAAATGTGCTTAAATGTTCAAAGAAAGAAGGCACTTAAGAGGAAAGTGATGAAGTATTCAGTCCCAGAAGGATAAACAGAAGAGTAGCTGAGAAGGGCAGAAGGGATGGGATCCAAAGGACAGATTGGTAGATCAGCATCAGGCAGAAAGGAGACTAGGTCCTCTTGTGTCAGTCAGGGAAGGAAGTGAGGTGGAGTTCAGGCGTACGTAGGTTTGCAGATCTGGTAACTAGTTGGGGGGGGTTGAAAGTTTTCAGTTTATTCTTTCAAGTTTCCCAAAGAAGTAGGAAGGAAGTAAAGTTATTGATGGGAATAAGGAAGGACAATTGAAGGTTGGTAGGTGAAGGTTATAGGTTTAAAGAGAGAGAAGATTGAGAAAGTATTTACAAAAATGAGAGAGTATTTTAGAGAAATATAATACAGTAGAGCAGTAGAGATAATCCATTTGAAGATGGTGATCATACATTTATTTTGACTCTATAATCTGTCCAGGTGCTTGACTTTCACCAACAGTGTGGCTGTTCAAGGACAGGTGCCAAGAAATCAGATAGTAATTTATTTACCAGCTGGAGGAAACAGGAAGAGAGAAGCACAAGAGATTTTAGGGAATTAGTAAATGTTATTAAAATAATGTACCATGGGACAAAAAGGTAGATAAGGCGGATGTGAGTGAAGCAAGGACTGCTGTGAAGAAGGCTTTTAATAAAATTAAATAAAGGTTATTATGGGAATACTTAAACAAACAAGCTGGATGGAGAGGAGATGGTGGTTTAGAGCACTGGGTTCTTGAGGAAGTGGTTTTGGAAGTGGAGCCATCTTGGGTAATGACAATGTCCAGTGGAAGATCAGGTCTGTGACATAGAATTTACCATTAAAGTGTTATTCTGTTTGTGTGAAAGGACAGAGGGCCCCCAGACCATCACTGGAAAATAGAATGAAAGAAGATGAGATACTGACAGATTTTTATTTCTGCTAATGTTATAGAAATCATGCAGTTACATCCTCCTGAATAAAAACTTGGACTTTCAGCCTAGATTACTTCAGAGACATGGAGATTCAAATGATTTTAATGCACTAAGTTATAAATAACACAAAAGAGATGATAACTCACAAGTGGTTTTGTCTCTCATTACTGATATTTTCATTAACACTCTTCTTAGGTGAAAGGAAATTGCTGCAATAACTGGTCTCTGTGGAAAGTCTTTTTGGTTTGTCTCTTAGCCTGTGTGATAACAACAGCAATTGGAGTACTCATCGTGTGTCTGGTGAATAATAGAGGAAATGACCATTCTTCCATTGTTATCCAGCTACCCCAAAACAACGGGGAGCCTGTAGTTATTGTTCCTGGAACAACCTCTACTACTTCTCAACCTACAGTGACCACCACTTCAACGGAACCTACAACCACAATGGCCACAACCATCACTTCAACGGAACCCACGACAACCACAGCGGCCACAACCGTCACTTCAGCGGAACCCATGACTACCACGGTGGCCACAACCACCACTTCAGTGGAACCCACAACGACCACAACAGCCACAACTGCCACTTCAGCTGAACCCACGACGACCACGGTGGCCACAACTGCCACTTCAGGTGAACCCACGACGACCACGACAGCCACAACCACCACTTCAGCCGAACCCACGACAACCACAGCGGCCACAACCACCACTTCAGCGGAACCCTCAACTACCACAACGGCCACAACTGCCACTTCAGCTGAACCCATGACGACCACGGTGGCCACAACTGCCACTTCAGGTGAACCCACGACAACCACGACAGCCACAACCTCTACTTCAGCGGAACCCACGACGACCACGACAGCCACAACCACCACTTCAGCGGAACCCACAACCACAGCAGTCACAACTACCACTTAACGGAATCTATGATCACAACAGCCATCACCACAACTATAAGTGAAACAGTAGCTGTTCCGCTTCAACAGGGTCCACAACAACTGAAACTTAAATACCAGGAAATGCTGTTAGAGCTTAATCTTAGCTGACAATCAAAACTATCACTACTTCCACTATCTCTTTGACTAAATGTACAACTACATTAACTTCACTACAATCATTTACCACTTCCACTTGACCTGCAACTTCCACTTAGCCTAAAATAATAATTATCATTCTTCATCAACAATCTGTAATCTCCACCTAGTCATCTGAACCTGTAACTACAAATGCCACCATTAGCATTTTAACCTTAATAGAACTACCATTGATTACAAAAAATGTTCTCTTCTATGGCAAGTTAACCTTTAGTATTATCACTAAAATTTAACCTACAACTATCCTCCCACAGGCTCTTTCACCTAAATTGTAGCTACCTTCTCTATAATAACTGAGTCTATATCCAACATTACTGTATTATACCTACAGTAACTACCAGAATGCCAGTTAAAGACCAATAATTTAGACAATAATAGAATAGTTACCTTAATTTTCACCAAATCAATACTTAACACATCTAAAGCTATTAAAATTTGTTTTTAGTTTTGAAGAACTGAACATACAAACTTAAAGAATCTGCTCTTGTTTCCATATTTCAAATTAGTACTTCATAGAAAAAAATCCAATTTGTTCAGTTAGAAAATATTTAAGAAATTTTATATAAAACCTTATGATAAAAGTAGCCATTCAGATTTTAATATGTACTGATTTTGGTTCATAACATTGCATTCCTCTGCACACAAATAGTATCCATAAACTTATGTAGAAATTTTAGAACTTACAGTAATTGTTTCCTTTATGGTGAAGTTTATGTCCCTTTAATTTTGTATTTAGATTGTAACTACCTTTTAAGCAACCATATTCTGTTTGCCTTAATACCAAAGGTGCATTTGAATACTCTAAAATTAAATTATTGATTTTTTGCAATCTTGTAAGACTGCAAGACAAAGGCATATCTTAAGTCCCAGTTATGTTTTGAAGTATGAATATTAATAAGAAAATAGCAATGCAAATTAAGTAACAAATTTATTAAATTTGGCTCTGTTAATTTTGAATTCTTAGTAATTCTAGCAGATTTAAACTATAATTAATAACCCAGACTTATTAAATAGGGGTCTTTATGTTGGAACAGGTAATCTATAATTTAAAAATCTTTGCAGATGTTTGTAATTCCAGTCAGGTTTGAAATCGCTGGTTCAAAGGTCTTAGTCTAAGAATGACATTAAAGTCATATAAATTCTAATAAAAAATATTAAAAGTCAGAATCTCATGCAAAACAGCACCATTTTCAGGAGCAGATTCAGAAAATTTTTGCAGATATGCAAAAATGAAAAGGAGTTATAGACTGGCTGTGTACAAAAAACCTTTACATAACCAATTACATATATAATCAGAAGGAAATGTTTTATCATATTTTAATGTAATATTTTCAAGAAAAAATTTAAAATTAAAGCTTCTGGGCAAATTTTAAATCGTTTAAAATATCTCAAAGTTGGATCTAAGTGGATACTCATTGTTAACTTCTGCTAGCTGAGTTATTTTAATTGTATATACTTAGAAGTAATGACATTTTAGTAAATACATTAGTTTAGATTTCTAATAATGCCTTCCCTTCCCTCTGTGCTGTTTTGGAGTTCCATATATTAGAACAAAGGTCCAGCCCTGGGCCCTGACCCATGATTGCTGCAGCCCTGAGAGGGATATACTGGCCCACTGTTGACCTCTGGTTTTTGTGGGGCTCCCAGAGTCAGAGCTCTCCCCACCAAGCAGGGTTTTGAGGCATGTTTGCTGACCAAAGGCACTGAGCTTCCTCACCCAGTTCCCCACTGCACTCCCAGTTGCAGGCTTAACTGTGGCCTCCATTCTGAATTTCTGTTCTCTTACCCCATTTTTCCTGTAATCCTCTTACTGGGCCTGGAACTTTGCCCTGTTTTTGTTTCCATCTGTAGTGATGGGGTTCTCATCTGTGAACCTCAGCTCCTTCGGCTGTGAACCAGCTTTCTGTGGGCAGATCCTGGCATGTGCTGCAGTACTGGCTACATGGTTGACATTCTGCATACATTCCTGATTGCTTGCTCTGGACATCTGCTGGCATGGCTCTTCCGTCCTGGCAGCTCTAGGACTGATTATTTGCCTAAGTCCTGCCCAGAAGTGCCTGGGGCTGCTTGGAGACTGAGCCTTGTTTCCTCCCAGGGGTAGGTGAGCTTGTGCTCTCATTCACTCAGCAATTCCTTCCCTTGTATATAGGCCTAGTTCCTGGACTAAACACCCTTCCGGAATGTTCTCCTACTCTTCACCTACTGAAACTTTAAACACCTTTCTTGCTCTCTTTATTTTTTGTTTCTTTGTCATATATTTCAATATCTCAGTATACGCTGCTTTGAACCTTTTAAGTATAGCTTCCCTCCCTAACAGTATTACAAGAAATTTAAAACTACTTTTTTGGGGGTGCATCACAGACAATACCAAGTATGATTTTAGCTAGCTTCCAGACAGCACTTTTGAATACACCTGCTTTAAGACAGGTTAAGAACTGCTTCCCAGAAAAAGAAGACATACATATCTAATATTTTTAAAACTGGCTAAATCCTCTTTTCTTGACTTTTAAGGCCACACCTAGTAGCCACTATCTTTATTTTTAGCTTCGGTTCTCCTGACGGCTGCTGTATCTATTTTAGCTGCCTGGGCATGGTTTTTTTTCTCACTTGGGTTAATGTTTCTGGTAATATTCTTTGCTTTTCTTGGAGTATCCCTCTTTATTTCCCCTTCAGATTTGTGATGACTTCTATTCCACTTAATCTTGGTCCACAAATTCAAGCTTCTTCCTATTTGCTAATTTAAGCTGACTTCTCAGCCATCCGACTGAGAAGAGGTAGAATGCCGTCAGAACCTGACAAGCTACGATTCTGTTTTGATCAGCACTTCTGTTTCCTTTTTAGGTAAAAGATGGGGCCACTTACAGTCAATCTAAAGATACAATACAACTTATTTAGAATGGTCATAGCAACTTCATCTATATCAGGACCAAAGGTGCTTAGCAGCTATTTATTAAAGCTAATATTAAAGGCCTACTTCCAGAAAGTTGATGTTGAAAATAGTTTCAAGTAAAGATAAGAACAGTCACTTTTATGGACCATTGCCAAATTTGGCTGAATTTAGATGCTTTAAAATAGCTCAGTGCAGCCAAGAGATTCTTTTCAAAAGGCTCAGATTTCATCCCAATAAAAAATATAACAATGATGAATGCTTTTTTGTGGATATATTTTCATCAGTTCAACATTGTGTTAGGATTAAGCCACTTTAAGAGGACCAAGGAAGGCCCTTCTAACTCTTATTTCCATTTTGAGGTAACTAGATTTTTGAATAATTCACCAGTAATAAAAAGTAGCATGGGTTCAACTCCGAATTTCTAGCACCTAAAGCCTTGTGGGTTTGAGAAAAGTTTCCTTTTTTACTTCCTTTTACCACCCTCATTTTCGTTGAGATACATAAGACATTCATCCAAGGAATAAGAGTTGTGACTTCTTGGAATCTGAGGGACAATCTATAGTCTTTCGAGTGGCAGTCTTTCCCCTGAAAAGAAACTTATTTTAAAAGCTTAAAGATAGTTATGCTCTCAGAAAGTCACTGAGGTCTCTCAATTACATGTACAAAAGATATTAACAAATAATATGAAAAGGAATAATAATTTATAATAAAAATCTTCAACATAAATAATTTAAAAATGAAGTAACAAATACCTTTGTTTCTTAATGGCTTTGGGAATAAAGTACACTCAGTAGTGGTGAGCAAGAAATGAAATAGGCAGTCTTGTATTTGGTTGATGGCAAATGTATTGAAGGAAAAAACTTAGCAGCATGTATTAAAGGGTTTAATTTGTATACCCTTTGTCTGAGTAAGTCTATTGGAATCTATGTTAAGAAAATGTTATGTACACTAAGGTACACTAAGTACTTTCTGGTACAAATAATTTTTTGTAGTTATACTTACAAATGCAAAGTATTAGAAAACAAATACCCCAAAGCAGAAGGGTTACACGATGAAATACAGTAGAGTCATGATATTTTCAAACATCTTGAAAGTGTGGTAAAAAAGTAGATTATAAAAGATATGGTACAGTTTCAAGATAAGAAAGGCAGGATAGAGTAAATTATGGCTCTCTGAGAAAACGTTTTAGGCGTTCTTTGGTTCATTTTCTAGATTATCTACTATTATCTTTTTAACAGAAAGAAAGCAGTTCAAAAAAATTGGACTATCTTTCTAGCAAGTAGACATTACTTATCTAGCACACTTTTTTTCCTTTTGAAAATAGTTTTATGAATTTTGTAAAAGTGACACCACCTAGAGCCCTTTGGGAGGAGACTTAAGCCTGGGATCAGTAAAGTAAGATAGCTCCAAATGGAGTGGTTAGGCTGCTCATGTTGTCCACATGGTGAAGTGAAACTGGAGTGGACGGCAGAGGAGCAGGGTGTGTAAAGAACACAAAGCTAATGATTTTAAAATGAAGTCTTCAGGCTTTTCTATACATAGTATCATGTCATCTACCAATATTGACAGTTTCACTTCTTCCTTTCCAATTTGTAAGCCTTTTATTCATTTCTCTTGACTAATTGCTGTGGCTAGGCCTTCCAATACTATATTGAGTGAAAGCAGTGAGCGTGGCTTCCTTGTCTTTTTCTTGATCTTAGAGGAAAAGCTTTCACCTTTTTGCCATTGAATTTGATATTTGTTGTGGGTTTGTAATGTGTGGCCTTTATTTGTTGAGGTGTTTTCCCTCTATACTCACTTTGTTGAGAGATTTTATCATAAATTTATGTTGAATTTAATCCAATGCTTTTTCTGTATCTATTGAGATAAATGTTTGATTTTTATCTTTCATTTTGTTCATGTGGGGTATTATGCTGATTGATTTGTGGATGTTA